ATATAATAGAATATTATCCAATTAAATTTATAATATTAATTAACCAATAAAATAAGAACTAAATATTCATATTATAACACTATCTTCATTATTTACCTTTTCTACCTTTTTTACCTTTATTATTTATCTTTTCTACCTTTACTATCCTTACTTTCTATCTTTTCTACCTTTTTCTATTTGTCTTTTCTATCTTTTATATATATCTTTTTAATTTTATCATGTAGATAAAACTAAAATGTATTGAGAAATTTTGTATAAATAGGAGTGCTCTCCCATGTTTCAATCTCATGTTTCAATGTTTAAAACAAATTAATAAATTTTAATCTTGATACAATAAGTTAATGACTGTCTTATTGTTGTAAAATTAATATTTATCCTTGTATCTTCTTTCATCAAAACAAGTTACCTGGTAAAAATAATTTGTTAATTGAACTTCAAATCTTGTAATTCAAGTCACTTTTCATAAATCTTGAGCGAGATTAAGAAACTGAATATTGATTTGTATAGAATTGAATTTCTGATTATTATTTTTGTCTTTGAATTTGAAAAAGACAGTTAAGTATTTTTGGATAAGTATATTGATTTGCTATAGTATTATTTTTGGTATAGTTATGCACCACAACTTTAAATAAGTGATATTTCTTTTAGTTATTTATTTTCTTTGGTATTGAAAGCACTAGAACATACAACTACAAGTATAGAAACATCAATACCCTTTTTCTTAGTTAGTAACCTTAAATAAAGGGTTTCTTCACTATTAGTAAGAGTCATATGAGTTGGGAGAGAGGAATAGACTAATAAAATTGATCAGTGCAAAAATAAGTATCTAAGCCTGTGCCAATTTTGACAGAAATTGTTAAATAATTTTATCAAGGATGAAAAGAGGGGTTGGAAGAATGTGTTCAGAGAGGTAATTAATAAAAAGTGGTAAGTAACCGTAGCACCAGACTTGAACTTGTACAATGATTCAGTTCAAGTTCAGTTTAAACTTTGAACCTTTCTTGAATTCAAACCAAAGTCTGGTTCGAGTTCGGTTCGAATTTCGAACCATAATCGAATTCAGACAAAAGTCCGATTCGGTTCATAGGAACACTACAACTATCTACCTCGTGATATTGCTATATATAAAATTGTGTCTAAATTTTGATCCCAAAAAACAATTTTTGATCCATGTTAACAAAAGGTAACTAAAAAAAAGTTTCACGAAGTTGGAAATTATATTATTATTTAATGAAAGGCAAGTTTAGAACTCCTAATGGATCGGGTCAGGTCGGGTTAACTGTCTAACCTGCAAGTGGGAAAATGACTTGCCGTGATGTGCTCTTATTAGATTTTCGCAAATTCATCAAATTTTTATTTTTTTTTAATTGTTATTATCTTGCTAGAAATCTACCACTATTATTTATATATTTTGCTTCTATAAAATGTTAGTATTGTAGTAAACTTTATATAACAATCTCTCGCCGGTGACTGCACATGCTAAAATATTTATACATTTGGCTTAGCGTTAGCAAAAGAAGTTTCAAATGTATACTCATACCCACGACATGAAAGATGTCGGTAAATTCGGTAAATTCGTTCGGTACCGAAAAATCTTGATAATTTACCGAACTGTTACCGATCAATTCGGTTAGATAACGGTTTGTAAAAAACCAGATCGATCGGAGCCCTAACCGCGATACAAGTCCGATTAGAATATTTCTTTGTCCATGACTTCTGCCTTGTAATGTAGGCAATATTGAACAGAGTAAGCTATTAATTGATTTGGCTTACAATCAAATCTATTTGCTTTTACTTTTGCTATCTCAATTTTGCCCAAAGAGCATCCAGACGAGCATCAATCATTAAAAATAAATTCGTTCTTTATTTTATATGGGTTACAAATTAAAAAAAAATTTTAAAAAATTTACACTGAAAGCAAATTTTCAAAAACAAAAAAATAATTGCATTTAAAAGAATCGTACGCGCGAAAGTAAAAGGAATGACGGAGGTATTTACAAATTACTAAGTCATATTTAGTTATGACTATAATAAACAAGGGCGGTAACAAAGAATGTATACGCTTTGCGAATTGAAACTACGATTAATGTTATTATTGGTGGAATATGAGCGAAGGAAAAAATAGAAGGATGCGTCGTTTTTAATTATAAAAGATTTTTTTAGAATGGAAGAGATCATAAATGCGCGCATGAATATGAATAATGATCGTTGAGGAAATCGCTCAGACATTATAGAAACTTATAATTACGGATTGGAACAGGCCTGTCTTACTTGATTGGATGTTTCAAAAAATATGATAGAAGATGAGCGAGCTTTATTTCGCAGTCTTGTAAGCATAATGTACTTATTTTTGAAGAGACGTGCAGCGTAAAGACGTACGCGCTTTTTATTATTCGGTGCATGTTGAATGGATAGGCTTTAGTTTTTATTTCCTAGGAACCTGTTCAAAGAACAATTAATAAAAGTGTAGTTTATATTGTTACAAGTTTTAATAAAAATAAATAATTACCGATGCATTAAAATACAAGATTCGTATTCATTGATCTCGGTCGTAAATATGGTATCGACCATTTTACCATATTCCTCTTTGGTATAATTCATGAAAGGAGCTAATACGGATTGTAGCGATTTCCATATACGACACTGATTTTCGGCAGCCTTAATTATTAAAATCGATTAAAAAAAATAATAGATGAAGGAAAAACGATGCAAAATTTACCAAGTTTCCAAGAGTTCCAGCTCGTTTGCCCATCGGAATAATGTGTTGCAAATGTCGAATATTTTTTATGGACCCGGTTTTAACAAGAAGATCTCCGATATCGATCGGTTTCAATGTAATGCCCTTTGATCCCAAAAATTGAGCATCTATAAAAGACGAAATCAGTAACAACTCCAGTTTGTTGAAAATAATGCATACATGAACGAAATATGCTTATTTACATTCGCTGGCTAAATTTTGTAACAACGGTCCCGCGTTGATACATTCGATATCGGCTTCAACGAATTCTAAGAATCCGCCAAATCCGGTAACACGTAACAATTCGGGTAACACTAGTCTTTTAAATGGCCGATCGGGAATCGAGTGCAAAAGAAAGCGATGGTGGATATAATCGAATTTTGAATCCGAAAATCTAAGTAAAATACGAAGTGTTATTTTTTAAAACTTGAAGATCATCAATAGCAAAAACAAAATTGACATACGGTAATCCTCGGAGAATATTTGTGTTTATAAAATTCGTATTTTGCGGCTTAATCGTATCTGGATATATTGCTGATACGTCAATCCCATAAAATGAGGATGGGAAAGTAGTCGCCATTTCAAGCATCCATGTGCCCGAACCGCAACTAGAATAACAATTCGAAACAATTTTAGCATCAAATATTATGTTATATTTTCGTCTTCGACGAGAAATTGGAAATTTACCCGACATCCAGTATTCGGATGTTGCCTTGTAATAGTAAATTCTCAATAGGAGAGAAGAAGTTGCGCCCCCAGAGACATTTTATAAGGAAATGTTCGTTAGTCAATCGGTCAATTTCTTCGTTATCACAGGGCTTTATTAGAAAAATACGCGAAAATGATTAGCAAAATTCCCATTATATTTGATAATAGAAAAGCGTGAGTTTTCTTACGAGAAAATAATGAACGTCCTGAAAGTTATGATATTTTCTACCCTCGATAACACGGAAAACCTCCTTGGACTTTGCTTTTTTCATTTTATTTTTCTTCCCGGAAGTAGAATCGAATTCAAGGCATTCTTTTTTATTAAATAGATACGCTTTACAATCGCGACGAAACTTTGTGCTTTTGCCGTTGTCGGTGTTGTAACTGAGAGCATTATTTTCGAGTTGGAATTTTGAGTTCGATACGCAATTTCCCATTTAGAAAAATAATGACAAAATGATTTGAGGGTTGAATATAAAATTTGATGTTAAAGAATGAAAAAAGTATACATAGAAAAAACGAATGTCTTATATTATATAACAGATACGAGACTGGATAAGAAGAATTAATCTTTGCTTGGTCTTTTTTCCTTCTTATTCTTACACAAGAATTTTTACAGAGGCCAGCTACCTGAATTGCTTTATATCATTCCTGGAGATAGTGGTTTGTCAATCCTGGAACACGAATTACGCTCTATGTTCTTGTTTGGTCTTTTAAGGAAAGTGTGAGTACAAAGCGATATGTATGTTTATATTATGCAGGATTTTGTTTTTCAACTTGTGCATCCAGTGCCTTTCTTTGTTTTAATTGTTTAACTTTGTGCATCAAATAAAATATTGATTAATTAAATGTTTGGAAGAAATTCATGTTTCTTTTACGCACCCCCAATTCAATTGATTGAATTGAGCCAAAAAGAACCGATTAAATTAATTTATTCAAACGATATTACGTTCGAATGCTATTCGCTAGAAGACTAATTTTCTGCGGTCAGATTAAAGCAAAAACGTGCAGCTCCCAGGCATACGGTAAATGGGAGAAACAAAAGAGCCAGAATAGAGTTGTATTATTCTCTCTCTCTCTCTCTCACTCACACACACACACACACACACTCTCTCTCACTCACTATAAACCCTAAATTGCACCTTCTTTGTGGAATCATCTAGAACCGGAACAATTTTCAATTTCAAATTGATGTCAAACGATACGATGGTGTGGACAAATAATTTCTGAATTTCGGGTTTATTTTCCGGCGCAATGTACCCATTTATTGACATTAATATGAAACCAAAAAAAAAAGATTTTAATATGATTCCAAAAACATACAAAAATTGTTACATTTTTCCGGTGATAGGCAGATATTATTGTCGCTAAAAAAGGCAATTGTACATTTCTAATATCATTTTCATGCAAAACTTGGTTTGATTCGCTAATTCAATTACAGAGCAACAATATAAAATCAATTTATGCGTGATTGAAAGACTTGTCAGACTTGAATAAGGTTTTGCGGTACACAGATTCGGTATATGCATAATCGCTATCTCAACTTTTTTTGTTGATCAATGAATGCTTGAAGATGGTGACTTCTCATATTATTCAAAGTAAAGCGAAAAGTAATTTACATAGAACAGTCAAAGGTAATTTCTAACAATGATCGATCCGATATAATCGATTCGAAAAACAAGTTCGATTGATCGGCTCAAAAATTTATTTCACAAGAAAAATCCGGAAAAACCCGGAAAAACTTGCCCAAATGATAACTGCAGAGTACAGTGTACAGTTATCATTTCATCACAATGAAATCAAAGTTTTGCTGATATTTATTTATTGGTGCGGATCCAAAAAAATTACTCTGACCAACTGTGACCCGATTAGAACAAGGCTGAAAATGATTACGTCCTTTTCGAGAAGACAGTCATTAGTCCCCAGAGCGGGTAGAAAAAACGGTTATGCGTATGTATAGGCAGGTGTTAATGCAGAGACAATTAGTGTTTTCACCCCGCAGTTTTGACGCGGGTTTGTTCTTTGTTTTTAATCTATGTCAAGTAAGTTTAGCGACACAAACAAAAATAAAAAATCTCCGAATTCCTCATTTTTTCTATCAATGTGTTTTTATTCTCTATCAGTAAAGGGCTTTGCTCAGTTGTGAGATTAATAATTCTTTGATGCTTTTGTTTATTAGAAAATTCTATTGATAGTTGCTTACAAAGAGATTTCTTCCATTTTCGCTCTTCATTCTGTGCACTTTTTGTGTACGTGAGAGAAAAACTAGTTATTGGAATGCATCAATAAAACAACAACATACATATCAATATATATGAATTTTAATTTATTAAATAAATATACTAAAAGTATCACTTTGTGCGATGAATTGGGGAGGAATCGTTTATTCCAAATTCACATTCGATAAAGGAAGATCAAAACTAATATGAAAAATGTGTCGGAGAAAGAGAATGTATTCTGGACTATGATAATAAAATGTTTTAATGCATAGAAGAATGAAGAATGTTCGTAGTAAATTTGAGATTTTTGCACCTACATTATGTTATTTTATAAATTATCATTCACCTGCGTATTGTATCATAAAAGGATGTTTAGCCAGAAGACATTCGAATAAAGTGAATTCGGGCAGAAGACATCTTTGATATATATTAATAGTATTCTGGATTTTTTTACAGATTATGATGTTTACAGTTCATGTGCTTGACATCCGTGAAATCAACCAATAATATTGAAAATTCGCACTGTACAACACAAAACAAGAACTGTACCTTAAATAGATAGATAACACATACAACACAAAACAAGAACTGTACCTTAAATAGATAGATAACACAAAACAAGAATTGTACCTTAAATAGATAGATAACACAAAACAAGAATTGTACCTTAAATAGAAAGATAACACAATGTTAAAGATTGATTTTAAAGGTTAGGGCTAGGGTTAGGCTTGAGGTTAAGCTTATATGAAACCTGTCTCCCCGACATTTTTTATTAGTGCTTCAAATTAGATTTAAGCATGCGTTTCCTATTTTTCATTTTCTTTGTGTCGGATTTGTTTTGCCGGACTAATAAAAAATTTGCGTATTATTTATTATCGTTATTGGACTGATCTAAAATTTGCACATCCTTATTGGTTTGTACTACCCGGCATTTTATTAAATTCAATAAATGCTTAATCCGTGTTACATCAGATATCGATATTGGGAAGTAGATCAATAAATACGAATTTTTTCACGAGTGTTACTCCACATACCGGAAAAACAACAATACACTCAAATATAGAGATAACAAGTTTATTGTATATATTTAATGGATAACAAAATATTAGTAAGCAACTTTTTCAGACCGTGAATAATGAATGTACTGCATATGAATAGAACACCCCCTCCCCTTATGTACATATATATCTGCTATATAACTTTCATTGCTACATCATATATTTGTTGTTTAATTTCGCATATGCAAATTAAACCGTTGTCTTCCACATTTAATATAAAAAACCTTTATTTTAGGTTTGATCTGTTTCGAAAGTTCCAGCATGACCTACCAATCAGTGTTGGCATGTTTGCATGTTCATATTTTTTATATGGACATTTATGGACACATATGGTCATACGTCCAAAAAATATCAAACTTGACAAGACTGCTGTGATTAAACAATATTAATTAGAGTTAAGGTTAGGGTCAGTCTGACCTATCACAGCAAGGAACATTTTGTTACAACACAATTGGACTATTTGGACTTATAAAAGCTGCTTTGAAAAGATAAATAAGCGTTTGTTTGGAATTTTTTGCGTTACACACTGATCTTGCTATTTTATTGGACAATCACACAACTGTGGTATCTTTGTAGATCACCCTGATTATCCTTATTGTTATCGTTATCAGTAATCGAACCATAATTAATTTAACAAAGTAATGCACACTCTAAAACAACTATAGTGCTATAAGTTCATACTCAACAATCACATGAGATATTTAAAACACATCAACTTTTTGTAGAAATGATATTTTAAAAAACTGACCGGCAACTTTGTTCTTTGTAACGAGCTCTATAAAGTTACCGGTCAGTTTTTTAAAATATCATTTCTTCAAAAAGTTGATGCGTTTAAAGCTCTCACGTGATTGTCGAGTATAGACTTCCAGCACCATAATTGCATCAAAATATACTTCACTTTAACTCTAATTAAAAAAAAACTCCTATTAGATTTTGATGATTATTGCATATAAAATTATGTCATTTTGTAGCTTAGCTTACAAAACGATCTAGATTTTGAGAAATTAGCACAAATAGACTGATTAAATACTTTTGGATAAATACATATAAATCATCAAAATTATTAGTTAAATTCTATTTAAAATTAAACTACAAATGATATATTTTTTGCATTTTTATTATGTACGTTAATTGTTTTTTTTGTCCATATAGTTATATTTATTTAATTATGCTATTAGATTCTCGCTTCGACAGCAACAATTTTAATAATCCTGTTGCATATGAGTATTATTATTAATTTGATTTAAATAATTGCGTTCTTTTCAGACAAATAATAATCACTTTCAGATTCATGCTTACATGGAGACGATCGATTGATTGCAACTTTACTCATTTCAGATGTGTTGATGTTGATTAGAGTTTGGATCCGGTTTAATCTTTCTTATTATAAAAGTCGGTTTTAGATTTTAAAAACAAATAAAACCGAATCCAAACTCAAATGGTGATAGATTTTCATTCAAAAAATAATCGTTTGGATTGAAACTTGTCTAATCAATAAATTTCTCAATCCGATTTGCCTGAAAGTTTCTGAAATCCAGAATTTAGGGTGTCAGAGCTGTCAGAACCAGCTAAAACCGAATCTCCAAAAACTCTCAGATAAATGCGACAAAGGTCCAAAATTCTTCCAATCGAATCGAGATTAGAAAATTCTGTATTGAATTTTTTTCAGCATTATACTATGGCATTAATTTCCGCGTTTGATCCTAAAATGAATACATATTTAATAAACTAAAAAGCCCCATACAGCATGATGACGCAATGTATTACGATTTTATTCCTTTAAAAATTTTTTCCCTCGCTATAGCGGACCCCGTTAAACCGGATCCTTAGAACGAAATTTTTATACTGTTATTGTTATTTTGTTGATAATATTATATTGGAGAAAGATTGGAGAAATTTCTATCGGATCATCTATGAGAAAAATTTTTCTTTACTAATTCTATCGGATTATCCATGAGAAAATTTTACTATAATGATGTAATGACAGAACGATAAAGAATGATATTATACAATATTATTAATACAATTATTTATATAGACTATTTAATCGAAAACAATATAAAAGAAACTCACCCACGACGACCCTCAACAAAATAAACACATATTCATTATAAATCATTCACAAACGACTTAAAAAAATTATACCTTATTCTGGTATATAAATAATTTACAAACGACTTGAATAAAATTCTTGTTTTTTTTTCAATATCCCATTCCCTTCATTGAACAAAACCTCGTCATTATAGAGCGTTTAAAGTGATCAATTTTAATTTTAAATCTTGATAATGATTTCATTAAGACACAAAAGGAATTTACGCTTCAATGGTTTGGTTTAGACTGCTTGTTGCGATGGTTGGGGCAGTATAGCATCAAGACAATGGACTTTTTGTATATAACATTTGAACAATGGACTTTTTGTATATAGCATTTGAACAATGGACTTTTCGTATATAGCATTCGAATAATGAACTTAAGATTTTTCGTTTGTAACCTCATTCTCCTTGAAATTATTAACTTCGCAAAAGTTTAAAATATTCAAGACATAAGTTTTTTTTACGACACACAAAAATGCACATCACGACATCAACGCCACAACACTAAAAACACGTATCAACATTCTAGGACTCGACTTGGTCGAAACTTCTTGTTGTATAAGTCGTGAATGATTCAATTTAAATTTGATCGTGTCGTTTTATGGAATGGGATATTTTCTAATGAACAATGAGCTTGAAATATGCATGAGCACCTGTAAAATTTCGAACATTGAGGTTACATTTATACATGAACTTTCTCTTCGTCAGTTTTTTCACTGAAACTTTATTTCTTTTTTCGTCGGTTCGTTCACCGTGAATCATTAACGTAGATAGATTTTTGATATTGTGATTGTATATTTATTTATTGGATTGAAATTGTATTATTCAAATTGATAAAAAAAATATTATTAAAAATCAAATTTTTGAAATAAAAGTCAATAATCGATATGTTAATGCACCATCTCGTGGCAATAGCTAATTTCAGTGTTTAGTAATAGTAAAAATGACAATACATTTCCTAACGGTGAAGTGAACATTTATATCATTTTTAACGTGATATTTTATGGTATGTATGTATATATGCTAAATTGATAAATGCTAGAGCATTGAAAACAATGCGTTGTGAAAGGTCTAACTCGCTGTATTTTATCGCTAAGAAATATAAGAAATATTTATAATCCATATTTATAGGATTAATGTTTGTAATTAAAAAATTGATCTATGTATGATCCCGAGATACGCGTTATGTTCTTTTAAAATTAATTTTATGTTATTTGAATTAAAGAGTATCAGAAATATTTGGCAATCAGCCTAGAGAAAATCTGCAACAACCAAATGGATATTGTGTTTATTCAGCCAATAACGCGAATTCGACTTTGATTACAGACATATTAATATATAGAGCGCGATTTAAATTTGAATTGAATTGAACTTTAAATATAGATTCCTAACACATAATTCAATCCAGTAACGATCGGATAAATTCGTATTTGTTTTGATCGGCATTCTTAACGGAATAACTAAATCAAAAACGTAATGATTCTTGGCTTTATTTGGCCAAAGTTTGTTTTCTATGATGAGATTAACCATTTTCTATTGAAAATGACATTCAGAAAGATATTACTGACCGAGTTACAATTTCTTCCATTTGTATCATAAATTTTCTCCGTATCTTTCGCACATGCATTCTTTGAGCACTCGAAGCAAACAAAAACAAATAATAATACAACACTTTGTATTCGTAGTTATTGAAATTTAAACATGAGCACCAGTAAGTAATAACGGGCATATGCAAAGAACTTGATCAAGTATTTTTCGACTTTGACAGCACAATAAGAGTACGCTTCGAAAAAATGAGGTTGTTTTGGAAGAAACCTGTATGTATGTACAAATATTTAGGTGATAGATATGTTTCCAAGCCAAATACCCCGGGTACGCTACATTCTACCCATTTTTTTCTGGAATTGTACTCGGAAGGATATGGTGCAAGGAGTGGGTATACTATAACAGTTAATTATGATAACCAAATCATAACATGAAATTTGATACGTTGAATTGAATCATATCCCGAGTGGTAAAATACGGTACAATATTTGTAAAGCTATCGTTGTTAAATATTATTTTCCCAATGAATATTATTAAATACCGAATTCAACCTATCTCCTTTGAAATATTTTATTGCTTTAATTTGAATGTTTTAAAAAAAATTAAATTCGCGTATTAAATAAAAATATGCTAAATTTATATTGGTTTTCGTTGCATAGTTTTTACATTCTTTCAGAATATTCAATAAACATCAAAGTGCTAGAATTTTTGTTTTGTATTTTAAGATACCAGAAAACCGATGACTATTTCTAGTATGGAAATATACAAAAAAGTCTTATATATCTGTATAAGACGCGTGATTTACAGACATATAACACGTAAATCGCGTATCGTTATGTAAAAGGTTGTAACAGTTTGTCTTATATTTACATACATTTGCATACTCAATTATGTCTGTAAAACACACGTAAAAAGTGACCTTTTACGTGTCTTTTACAGACATACGTAATTTTTTTTACAGACACATATTAAACTTTACAGGCATATTTATCTTATAGAACATTTATTCTCAACACAGAAATCAAATAGTCTAAGTGTTTGATGAATTCAAAATATCGAAGTTTGTGCCTTGCAAATTAGAAAACGCGAGTGATTTATTTTTCCAAGCAGGATCTGTATTAATTTTTACTGTATGATAAATTCTGATGTTTATGGGGATAAATTATAACTAGTGATGTTAAAGGTCTGTTCTTCCATCGGAAGGCTTTCCAATCAAATGCAAGATCTTTTATCATTCAATATATCAAGACTCAAGTATTATGTTAAATTCTATCTTTAATTTTCGATTGTATAAAGTAAATGTTAAATAAGGAACAAACGTTCAAAATTAATTCATTGTTCTATTATTAAAAAAATATAATGGGACGGTTCGGTCTTATTATTAGAACAAATATAATGAGACGTTCAATAGGGAATTTAAATCATGTGCAGGGCCGTAGCAATCCAGTCCTAAAAAGTCCCGTCCAAAGCGGTTTAGGTATCAAACCTTTAACATCCCCAATCTTAACAAAGTGAATATTGTGCGATTGTTCTCCCATTATTGGGAGTATGCTTATATGAGTTTTATTTTATTGTCACATCTAAATCAAAATGAATTGTATGGTTTAGTTCCATCACTTAATTAGGAATTCTATAGATAGATTAGAATTAGAATTTACTTATAAGTGTCATATACCAGTGTTGGGTTTTGGACTTGTCCAAAATCTTAGGACAAATTTGGACTAGTCCAAATTAATTTTGGTTTGTCCAAATGACGCAAATATTTTAATATAGCACATGTAAACCGACTACGTATATCTCTGATCAATAGAATCTATTTGAGATGGACATTTTGGTATCCGTTCATAAAAAACAAACATTAGCTAAAGATATTCCGATTTTTATATAGCTGACTGTATTATCCTAATATATCTATTGGACACTGATTATATTTGATAATCAAATCATGTTATTTATATGATTGTCCAAAACCTCTTGATAATTTTTGGTTTTTGGACAATTTGGCCATTTATCCAATTCCTAACACAATCATACACCATAACTTTGAAAAAGCGTGATTAACGTATACTCCCGAATTTAAGCAACCCCCTACGCTATCATTTTTGAGGTTGAAAATTTAAGGGTTGCTTAAATTCGGGTAGTTCGGAAATGCCTTAAAAAATGCTGGGTAGGGATCGGATAAATAATGATCAAGGGTATATGCGTATGTGAAATGAACAAAAAATGTGCCTAACGTTACTCGATACTATAGCTGAGATGAGTTAGAATATAATGAAAATTAATAAAACCCCCTTATCTATTAAATAATAATCTTAACAAAAGGGTTGCTTATTCAACTTTTTCAAGACTTTTTGACCTGAAGAGGGGGAGTTGCTTATTTTCGTGGGTTGCTTAAATTCGGGAGTATACGGTAATAATTTTGTTTTTAGTCAAGATGTGGGAATCAGCACGCGAAATTCAGGCGCGTGGCATATTATTGGCACCAGCTTGCGGCTTAAATTGTCTTAGTTGGCCTTGGACGATCATTCGAGATTTATTAAGAATAGCTTTGCTTTGAAATAATGATAATAATGATGATGATGATGATGATGATGATGATGATGATGATGATGATGATGATGATGATGATGATGATGATGATGGTGATGGTGATGGTGATGGTGATGGTGATGGTAGTGATGATGGTGATGATGGTTAATCGCTCCTCGTTTCTTTTAATAAGTCTTCGAATGATTCACGTTGTACTTTATTTAAGTGTTAAAAGGTATTTGTTTTATTATGTTATTTATTTTCAAGTTCTAACATGTTGAGTTAAGGCTCAACTATAACTTATATTTATATATTTTAACAATTACAAACTTATTCTTCGAATGTTGTGAATTTTGATCAAATGAAAAAATAACTGGTAAGCATTTGTCGTATTTTGCGGGAATAAAGTACCCTCCTTACATAGTATTCCCCTTTCCTTTTTTAGTAATTTCGTTGTGAAAAATATATTACAAGAGATTTGTACATATGTACGTTCAACATATTACGTATTTAAAAACATAAAGCAATTATTATCCCCCGAGTATAATACCCCGTCTAATCACGGTATCCCTCTATCATAATATCCCAGGTACTATAATTCCGTAAACATCACATTTTGAGATCATCAGGAAGATAAAACAACACATTAATGTGTTGTTCTACAAACACTATCGCTATGTTGATTTTACATTTTTAATTTGTAAAATTAGTGTAGAACAATATGATATGCATTAAACAATGTAGTTAATTGTTGTATCTAATGTTACTAATTAAACAACATGGTTTGTAGAACAACACATTTGATGTGTTGTTTTATACTTCAAAGCTTCTCGATCAATGGTCAGATGCGTTACCGAAGGTAGTGTTGTTATATGGACATGGACATGCAGGATAGGACTTTTATGTCTATTAGTATTGATGCCGGAACATCACTTGTTAATTCTTGCCAAGACTTTGACTTTAGCGTTAGTGTTAAGATTGACTCGGATAATGTCCGTGTGCAACATTGACTGAAAGTATGACCAGTATTTATCTATTAGTAATTATGTTGATACCCAATAACATAAATTCTATTGACCGAACTTTTTTGGTTTTCTCGTGTTGTAAGAACATTTTGTGTACTAGTTCACCAATATTTTTTTCATTACTATTGACATTAAAAGCGGTTCATTGCCAAATAGCTAATTAAAAATTGTATATTGTCGCGAACACAAAATAGTATTAAATGTCATCAAAAGCAATACAGTATGTTTTGGAAATTCTCTTATTTTCATAATAGTGACCCGTTAAAAAGTTTAAGACACGTTCGACGTGCAACTAAAAACATTAATAATTTACCAATAGTTTTACGTATTTCTGAACCCAAATTTTTGGAAATTATATTTAATGAGTGAGCGTTAGCCTCTCACTCTTCTGGAATCGAGCACAAACTCTGCTGAGGCGCTACTGGGCACTTAAAACAGGGTAAAGGGAAAATTAATTTACGAACTAGCTAATTTACGAAGACCTAAAGGAGTTGATTAGAGGTTTGGATTTGTTTAAGTGGAGTAACAACTTGGCAGCATTCAATTCTTTGAAACATTCTCCAAACCTTGGACTACGTCTTTTTGATCTTGTTCCTCAATTTGGATATTGAAGTACTTTATGAGTATTCAATATTGGTGGGTATGAAAAACGTATTTAGTTGGGAGTTAACGTTAACGAGAGTTAGAGTTAGAGATAGTGAAAGAGATGAGTATGGGGTTTCAAGAAAAAAAGTAGTTGGATTGGATCCAGGATGGCGGGGTTTGTTTGTTGTGATGGATGACAGGAAAAGGTGGGGCATTTGTATGAACTAGAAGAAGGATAAATGTTGGTAGTCCATTTCATTAATATGTAAAAGAAAATCATTTACTAACCTAGCTTTCTTGTTAATAATATCCCGACTTCTCGTACTTTTCCCAAAACTGTCTTCCAAGAACATCTTCATATATTCTTAAACATTGCAGCATCCTCTACACCTTTTTATGGTGCTGCTCGACTTCGTCGCCTCAAGTTTGATAATTACATTGGCTCTTTCTATTTTAAATTTCCTCAAGGAATTTATGCATTGAAAGTTTACAGAGCGATTTGTCCAACTCTTTGGAGCCGAGATATCAATGCTACAAGGAATAATAGAATTAGACTGGTAACTCACCAGACCATAGCAGGTAACCTGAGAGTAATAACGGCTTAAAAATACGCATTTTCATAACAATTTTTGTGTATATGCATAGCATATTGACAAGAGCTTTAACTTTAAGGCGGCCGTCTTGTTACCAAATTTGCTTGAATTAAAAAATCAGCAGCGATTCGGAGAATATTCTGGTAAGCTTGAAAGAATCGAGTATTTTTGAAACAAAGCCAAATTTTCGTTCTGTATGCCTTAGTCAATATATGATCTCTGTTTGTTTAGTATCTATCTGTATGTTTTTTGGTTACTCTCCACAGGTAGGTAATTAGTAACAAAAAAATGCGACACTTTTCTCCGAAAGACAATAACATATACTAAAAAAAGAAACTATTTTCTCACACGAGTGACATTACCGTACAGCGCTGCCTAAAAGTACTTCCCTTTGAAAAAAATTCAATCCTTTGTCCGATTTCTTTAAGGCTGAATAAATCAAGATTCACCATTACTAAATTAATAGCCTTGAGGCTAAATTAAGGTTTAAATTTTCTCCAAAGGGGGAGCGCTGTACGGTAAGAATTAAAACTCTACCCCAATAAAACAAATCTCGCCCGTTTGAATAGTCATGTAAGAATTGAGATAACCGCTATAAGGAAAACATTTTCTAGTTGAGTGGTATCAAAATTATCAAAATGTACATCATGATTTGTATGTAGTGGTAGTACGTAATTCTATGAGATTATCTGATGTAATGATACATCGATAGTACGTTTTAATATGTGATGTTAATGGAATTGAATGTGACAGTATATAGGGTGGAGTCAATAGATTTGTCACTTTTCTATTGACTCCACCCAAATAATTAAGATCTTTAAAAGAACACAAGCAATTTAATTAATTATGCGAATAAAACTAATTTATTGCTATCGCACATTCGAGAATTCTACCAAACTAAAAATCATTCGAGAATTCTAATCGTACACACCAAACTAAAAATAATCAATCTCCTAAAACGTTGGATAATGTTTCAGTTTCATCGACAATTTTCATTTATGAATCGCACGCGCCGAGAAAAAACATATAAATAGCTTTAGCTATTTTTTTATGTTTATATAAATAACACCAATAAACACATGTTAACGATAAAACCGATCATACGCATTAATCAATGAATAAATGAAACAATGGAATGCATCGATATTCTAATTATAAACAGTAAATGTCACTCAAACCCCCTCGTTCACTTTAAGGCAAAACTCGTCAAGGTGAAATCATCCTAAGCCGGAAACGCACTAAATTGAAATTGTATATTTGGTTTAGTAATCGAATACTTGAAATCTTCGGCATAACTTAGTACAACATCAAAAAAAAAAAAATCCACGTGCTGATAAAAATTGCAAATCAACACAAACAAACAAACAAACAAACAAACAAACCAACCATCAATCAATCTATCAATCAGTCAGTATCGACTTTAAATAAAAATCTTTATAATTTTGAATTTTATTATTAAAGAAACTGATTATTACTATTACTATTACTGATTACATTGTTTAGTTTTTAATTGTTGTCTGGAGACGAAAGCGTATCTAATATTATTTATAAAAGTTATTTCTCGGGCATAAAACGTAGAGAGGTGTGATGGTGATTTTTAACTACGAAAGAATTTAAAACTTAAAAGCTTACATATTTTTTATAAACAGGAATTGGAAGAATCGAAAAATCAAAAAAAAAGAATAAAATCGCGCGGTGCTTAAAAATTCGAGAAACGAAAAAGATTTATGGATTAAATGACGATGATGGTTTTGTCATTTGTAGCAAGTCAAAGATGTAGTAGAAAAGCCCACGCGAAACGACAAGAAAAAAGAGAAACAGAACAGCGAGATGATGAAACAAGAAACGAAAAAAAAAGTATATAAGCGTGGTGGTAAGTAAAAAAGGAAATAATATTTACAAAGTTACAATATTGTCCATCAAGTTTTGTGGAAAATCAAGATGCAAAAGGGTGTTTTAGATTCTTTTGTAATTTGTTAAAAAAAAAAGGTGGTGGTGGTTGTTGTAGGTAGATTTTGTGTGCGTGTGAATGTAAAGGTGTGTTTGATTTGTTGTTGTTGTAGAATTATTATTGAGAGATGTTTTATATTACCGAGAAATAACTATAATTTTGTTAACAGGTGCGGAAGAAGATGGATGTCTACCATCGACAAAGATGTAAGAAATTTTTATCTCTGAAAAAAAAATATTTATATTATGAATTATGATTATGATGATGTTTATATAAAAGATGTGTCTAGAAATAGTAAGATTTTTCTAAGGAAAAGGGCTATATGCAAGGAAATGTTATTATTATAAAAGAATTAATATAATATATAAATTGCGCGCGCAGAATGTACACCCAACCCAATACCACCCCCACACAAGATGCACACATTTTTTTTTACATGTTGACTGGCTTGAATTTCTTTTCACCTCCGTTAGGTAGAGTAGCCTGTGCACAAGGAGCACCACTATCCGACCTTAAATGCCTATTCAGAGCATCCAACCTTGCGAAGGCACGTCCACAATGAGCACACACATGAGGTTTGAAGCCCAAATGTAGGTTGTAGTGTCGTTTACGATCGTGTTGCCGTGCGAATGCTCTTGTGCAGCCTTGGAAACCGCAAAGGAAGGGTCGTTCGTCTGTGTGTGTGCGTAAGTGAGACTTTAAGTTGTATTGACGTGTGAATGTTTTGGTGCAATCCTCGTAAGGACAGTGGAATGGTGCACTTGTTTTTGATTTTCTTTGAGGTTTTGGCGGTGCTAGGTTCATTGTGTGAAGTCTTTCTGCCATCTCTTGTGGTAGTGCCTTACGATGACTCCGATGCTGATGAGTTGGAGTTGTGGAGACAGTAGAAGTTACAACTTTTTGACTATTATCGTTGTTGTCGTTGTTGTTGTCGTCGTCGTCGTCGTCGTCGTTGTTGTTACTGCTGCTACTTAAGTTTTGTGGGTGGCTGTGTGCAGTAGTCGATTTGGCGATGTGTGAGGCGGGAATATTTGTGTTACGTGAACTTATCGATTTAGAGATAGAGTCATTATCTACTTCCGACGACTGTGACGTCACGATTGATTCTTCGTCTATGGATATTAGTTGTGGTGGTGGTGGTGATAAGACTCCATATACACTATCAGCGATAGCCTGAGCTTTTGTCGGCGTAATTGGCGTGGCAGGTATAAAGCTAAACATTGGACCTGCTCCGCTTACTCCACCATTGTTCACATTATTAGTGTTGGAATTATTATCATCGTTGACCAAGCATTGAGCCAATGTTGATGGTGATAATTGACTTATGTCGAACTCATTGCTATTGTTGTCATTATTATCATCGTTCATGCCACTGACATTTGAAAGATCAAGTGTCGCAATGTTTGTGTCTAGTTTTAATGATCTACGATATGGATTTTCCATTTTAATCGTTGACATTGTAGTCGACACCGTGGGGTGTTCAAATTGTTGTTGACTAAAATCGTTATACGACGTTGTATTGTCGGTAGTGGTGGTGGGGTTGTTGGTGGCAGCGGCATTTGAATTGAATCCACTTTGAATCGCGTAAATAATTTCTTCATCACTCAAATCACCCAATGAATTTCGTCTCAAACTCTCCTCCTCGAACACAATATCCGTAGGCAGATGAGGGCTCGACAATCCCGAACTACCACCGGCGGATGAATATCCATCCGAAATATCGTAATCTGACGAATCAATCGATTCGTAAATTGACGATTGCGGAGATCCGTATGACGGAGTATACGAGTGAGCGTTAGCGGCAATTAAGAAGAAATTTGGGTCGAAAGGGTCTATATTGTTCTGGTTGTCGAGAAAGTAAACGGTCGCTGCTGCTACGGCCGCTTGTTCGGCTGCTTGGTGATTTCCCGCGCCCGTTACTAAATCACTGAAATGTTGTGCTGCTGCTTTTTGTTGGTGTTGTTGATTCATGGCAGCAAAGTAATATTCGGTCTGCATGTCTTGAATGTTTTCCATCTCTTTGAATTTTTTTTCTTAGCTTTTAATTTATTATTAACTTAATTTCGATTTTATATATATATATATGTGCGTAATATAATAATATAATATGAACTTACAAACGAAAACGAAACGAGTGGAGAATGGAAAATATTGCGGAAAAATAAAGAAGGGTTTCTGTTTATATATACACAGAAAAATAAATGCAATGCTGATAAAAATAAATGTGTTGTGGTTTCTGTTGTTGTTGTTGCTGTTTACACAAACTGGAAAGAAGAGAAAAATTTTTTCTTCTTTGTTGTGTGGTTATTATATTTATTTATTTATTTACTTTATTTTACCTTACTTTAATCAATAATAAATATAAATAATATTCCGAATATGATATATGGTGACATGTGATTATAGAGAGAGCTTTTGTGACAGTATTTTTTTTTTAGGTAATTGTGAACGTTCTACAGATATTACAATTGATTGTGGCGAGGATCAATGAGAATTATGGAATCATGCTGGAATTAAAAACAATGCGAACAATAAATACGTAACAATCTGGTCGATTTCTTTGGCTGATAAATATAGTATTTGTGTTGACGATGATGTGATGTGATGTTTGTTTTTAAGGTAGCTATTAATAGAACGCGTACGAGACCATATAATACGCGAGATTCTCGTGAAAATTTTGACAGGCTGCTGTGAATTGGCGTTTCTCAATGATTATCGCGTCGCCGTCTCTTTTTTTCCTTCAAACTTTCATATACAGAAACTGCCGAGCATAAGAAAGAAGAAAGATCTCTGAGCAGACGACCAGCTGGCTTCTAGTGACGAGAGGGGTTTTAAATATCTGTAGTTCTTTTTCTATTTTTGATCTTTTGTTGTTTTTCGATTTCATCATAGAGTATGTGTATGCACATTACTGTATTTAAAAAACAGTCTATGCTCTTACAATAGTTGTATTTGTTCTTGAAAATATTTATAATATTATTAGTACGTATTATTAGTACGTACAATTTTATTACGTATTATTATTATTACGTTATTACTCTTCATGTACTTTTCATGTTAATTGGTCCAAAGAAAATCCCCGATTTGTGATCCATAAAAAGATCACATTAAATAAAACAATAGAGGGAAAGCGTCATGAAATGAAGAATTGGTATGCAGATTAGGGGGAAGTGGAAGGAAAATGCGCGAAAAATCTTCACTACGTATATGCAGATGTATTGTGCATGATCATATACAAGTATATACATATTATGGGTAAAGTATTATGTAATTTGTAATTTGTAGCGATTAATAATGTCTATAGTATGCGATATTCCATAAATATCCACTAAGGATTCATTGATCATCGTGTCACCAATATATATACATATAAAAGATGTGTATTGATTTTCGCTTTGGATGTTTTCACTAAGGAGTATCCGTAATGATGTAGATCCAACCTAATAACCAATCACAAACCTCGTTGCAATTAATTAAAAAACGCGGCAAGCGAACGAACGTTGAGTGCGAGAAAAACGCATGCAGGTTTTCCTAAAAAAGTATTTCTATATTGTTTATTAAAACCGTCGATGCCAACATTTGACTGGCATATTTATTTATCTTGGTGTGACGGGCAAAAATTTAAAAAAGTATAAAGTGGAGTGATATTCCGATGCCTGGTCACGTCCGAATATTTTATTGGTAGGTTGAGTGTGGGGGAAGAGATCCTTTTTTCGCTTCATTTTGCATGAGAGTTGTTGAAATTAATGGTTAGTTTAGTAATCGGTGAAGATTGAATCGGCGAGAAACTTTCATCCACGAAATAATGTTTCAGACTGTAGCAAATTCTTGATTGAAAAAAAAACACCTTCTGGTCTCGACTGTAGCAAATTCTTGATTGAAAAAAAAACACCTTCTGGTCTCGACTGTAGCAAATTCTTGATTGAAAAAAAAAATACCTTCTGGTCTCGTGTCGAGATGGATTATTTGATTATCAGGCCAAACGCAACAATTGACCAACATTACGATTTTGTAGAATTCAAAAAATTTTCTCGATTTATATGGCAGTTTACCACGTTTTTGGTTTCTTGATTAAATTTTACCGGAATTAGGGAGAGTACAAATCTGGTATTCTGTGCGTGTGAAAGATTATTGTTATGGGTTAACTCTGTGGATCAGGAGGGTAGATTTTGTTTGACATGTCGTTGGATGATGCTTCAATTAAGTTCAGAAATCTGAACAATCATCACCTTCTTCATATTATCCACAAGTCACACATGAATGTTGTGATAAAAAAAAAAAGCATATGCGTGATCAATTTAGAATAATAGCAATTCAAGGGTGATATAGCATTGTGAATAGATAGCTATTGTATATAGTAATCCATATCAATCACCACGCTTCTATCAAAAGCAATGACAGTATCAGCCACGCTTGTATATCATTACACACGCCATTGATGAATGATGTGTGGCTAGTGTGTATTGTCTCTGTGTGTAAGCGGAATTGAATGTCCGATAAATCCTTGTTTTACCATCACAAACAATTGTGCATTGATTAGATAGATATTTGGTCAACTTACTCCTTTAATCGAAAATCGAAAAAAAAATTTATTTTATACGTTCTTATTGTTTCTTATTCTAATACATTGTCACATAATAATAATTATAATAATAATAATGGGGGTTGGTAATGCGTGTGATTGTTTTTACTACAAGAATATCGTATATTAAATTTTTTACTAACACCAAGAATTTCTTGGTTTTTCGAGTTTTCTAACGAACATCATTTATCGTCAATTAATATTGATATAAGTTTCTCGGCGCGATTCATTGGAATACATCATCACGTCTCGCAACTATTTTTAACTTTCTTCTGATCTAAACTTAGCGATCAATTAATGCCTTGAAATGTCATACATGGATGAAAATAGAAATCAAAGAAGAAATCATTCAACATGATGTCCGAATCAACGGAGATGCGTCTATTTATGAACACATGATTTAACATTGAAAAATTCATATATATAGATGCAACGAACATTTATATATTGATCCAAAGTCCGCACAACTTAATACGTACTGACTTGCATCCCCATAAATACAAACAACGGAGGTTTTTGTTTTCCTGTATGCATGCACACGGGTTTGTCTTTGCTTTGCTTGTTTGTTTTCATGATGTTTTTCCGGACTTTTGTTTGCCGCATCTCGTTGTTACCCAAAGCTGAGAGTCTTGGGATTTAAAACCATAAGGCGAGCAAACACATCGATAAGGTTCATCCCCACAAAAAATGATTCGAGTTTTGTGTTACGGAAATTAGTAGACGCTGACGCGAAAGGTAACGGTAAGCATTAGGATCGCTCAATAGACGATCATAAAGGGTAATACTACAATATCGTGATTTCCAAATGGATTTTTTTTTCGGGATGTCGTGAATCATTACTGTTACGTTTTTGTGAACGTTTTCTTAAATGGTGTGGTGATTCTCAATGATGATGTTATTTCATTAAGCCTTTGAATCATTCTACTCTTTCCATTGCTGCATCGTTCCGAGTTCCAGATTTCTCGGTCGAAGAGACTTTGACAATGCGTCATATTGAATTGGCGAGGGATTTGCTGCGACTAATCGAAATTTCTACGTACAAAAATACGTCACTTACTGTAGTTCCACAACTTTTCGTTGTACAAGTCTTTTTTTGTACATTGAGACTTTACCACTTAATTCTGGCCAGAATTAGAATTCTGTGACCAGCATTAGAAATTTAGCCCGAATTATTAATCAAATCAAGACGTGATATCATTCAGTTGTCAACTTTGTTTTTCGGCTTCCCTTGCATAGCTACTTCTTGATCATTTTGGCGATTAACTATTAACAGGTTAAAAAGTGCTGTCTCGTCAAGGTGACTGAATATTTCTTTTCGTGTCGCAGGAATGTGGAATGTTTTCTATGCACGTTCAGAAAAAATTGAAAATCGCTTTGGTATACACCAGTAATAGCCAGGTTGACAACGATTTGTTATCCAGATTGAAAATATGAACATCTGCAAACGATGCATCAACATCTAATCGGAAAATTCATGATCTATTACTATCTAGTTTAATTGCGAATTTCGTGAACATCAAATATGGCAGGTGCGAATACTCTTCTCTGTGTATGACTGCGTGTCAGATAGGCTGTATTTTATGTTTTTAAATTTCAAAAAAATGAGATAGTAAGCAATCGATTTGATTATTATTTAGAATCATCCTCCAAGAAAGATACAACAGAGTCAAAACAGCAGCCGCCGTTAGAAACCGAGAGCTTTTTATACTCGCCACTTCCAAATTATATAAAGAAATCGGATATAGTAAATACATGTAAAAAGTTTCTGGAATAATCTCACGTCTCCGTTAGTACTCAAAAATATAATTTCACCCATCTAGCACAAAGATAATGATATCCATCAAGCGACATCATCATTACTCTCTTCCAACAATAAAGACTTTATAAAGACCTTCGTTACTGATGCAGTAGCTTCAAGGGCAAAAGACCCTGAACAAATATACTCTGAGAAAATCAAGGACAAATCGCTGCTGCTCGACAATCCGCCGAAAGCATCACGTGAGACACGAGAAAAACGAAAATTGAAGCGACGCGCAATCATCAAAGGGAAATCAATGACTGCCAAAGAAAAACGGCAATTGAAAATCTACGAGCTGCCAAAAGAGGCGTGTAAGTATGAGTATTTCGAACAATTGAATGCGCTTTGGATGGGGTACATGGAAGAGTTGTGGGGGCCGCCGGGATCTAAGGAAAGTACGCTCGCGCCAAAGCTCCTCAAGGCAGATTTTCATGGGGCGATACTTACTGGTATTATTAAGTTTATTCTTTATCACTTTATTTCTCTCCATATTTATCCATTAATATAATATAATAAATAGTGACCAAATCAAAATGTCCCTCTTATATTGGCATTTCTGGTATTTGTATCCAAGAGACCGAGAACACATTCAAATTGATTACGCGGAAAAATATTTGCAAAAGTAATTATTTATCATCTGTATTTCATATCATGATTGAAAATTTACCTCCCATCCTTTTCCCATCAAAAGGGATCCCTAAAGCCAAATCCATATTCACATTCGAACTACGCGGCGCTCAATTCCTAATTCACGGCGATCAGTTCGCGTATCGAGCATCAGCACGCGCGAACAAAAAGTTCAAGGGTAAGCCGACAGTTGATATCAAATAAACAAATGTTTAAAAATAAATATGGCATAAATGAATCGCGTATTTTGAATTTGTTAGTGCGTATGTTTTTATTTCCTTTAAGTGTAGTTTTGATTTTCTTGTGTACAAACATTAATGCAATTGTGAATCCGAGTTTTATGCCAAGTAAAAATCCAAACTAAGATATAATATAATGAGGATAATAATTGAATGTTGTTAACTAAATATTGTCAACGTTGCTAATTTTTACGTCAAATGATGAATATACAAAAAAAAAGTGGTTAAAGATTAAATTGATATTCCAAATCAAATTTACGAACAAAAATACTATTTACCATCCTTCATCCATTCCCAATAATTCATGACGCCTCACACATACAATTGAGTGCTTTTCCTTACTCTTGAATTACAGCTCGGACATATTTTTTTCTTTCCTTCGGTAAGTTTTTTCTCACACGGAGTACACACAACATGGGAGCAATTTAGGACCCATAGCCCTTCTCTGAGTGGTTCATCGCATTCAGAACAAATGACGATGCTTGATTCTGTCAAATCAGTGACATGACCTTCGGGCGGTGGTTTATTATTATTGAATTTGTTGCGAATGGAAGGAGGCGGGTTGGATACAATGTGTACATCATTGTCGTCGTTATTGGTGTTATTGGATGATGAAACGTTATTGCTGTTGTTTTCGCTGCTACTATTATTGAGATTAATATGGTTAATAAGAATATTTTGGTTGTTGTTGCTGACGAAGTTATAAAACGGACTGCTTATTGTATGGGTGTTTGACTCGTTGATGTTATTATTATTGTTGTTGTTATTGTTGTTATTGGCAGTATTATTATTATTATTATTATTATTATTATTATTATTATTATCATTGTTGTTATTATTACTAATACTATTACTATTACTACTAATACTGTTGTTATTTAAAGACGAGACCTCCGGATTAAATTCTTCTCGGTTTAACGTAGTAGTAATAATAATATTATTATAAACTAATTCATTATTTTCAGGTAAAAGTTCATTTCTTTGTAGTCGTAGTTGTTGTTCCGATCTACTGCTATTATTATTAGTACTGAATTCTATAACTACTTCATCGGTAGAATTTTGGTACGGATGAAAGGCGGAAGTGTAGTGACTGTGTTGATGGGAAGGTCGTGAGTCTGAGTTTCCATTGATTGAAGGACCATTTGAGAAAGCTATACGAGTAAATAAATATCGAGTCAAATAAACATTCGAGTCGTTTTTCCAAACAGCAAATCGATCAATCGAGAAAAAAAATAACCTGAAATAGTATTTCGACTACGATTTCGAATTGGACCTCCGCTATTAACCATCGTGTTATTATTCATCGAACCACCACCGACATCATTACCGTTGCTATTATTATTATTACTTGTCGTATTCCGTATCCGACGACTTGAAGCAACATGAATATTACTTATACCATCTCCGCTTATACTCGTTCTTTCCTGGTCCAAGTTAATGACCGTTCTTGCCGATTGCGAGCCAGAACGTACTAAATTTATAACAGTTGTCGGAGCTGGATGCAAATGATGTAAGAAGAGAGTATCGCGAGGATTACTGCTTGTAGCATCCCCGAAGATAATACTAGACGACGATGAAGGTAAAGAGGAGGAGGTTTCGCCCTCAACGGGCAACACTTGACCGGTTGGTTCTCCTAATGAATGCAAGTTTTCATATGAGATACCACCGAAACTATTACTATTGCTGCTGGTACTGCTCCCGTAGTTCGATGGTCTAGCGTTATTCTCGTCTTCATCGTCACTAAGAATTACTACAATAGGTGTATTTTCCATTGTTGGTGGTGTAGTATCTGTAGTAGTTGTTGTTGTTGTTCTTGACGTCCTTCTTCGTCTTCTCTGAATATGATAATTTGCCTGATAATGTTTATTTGTACTTTTGCTTGATAACAAGTAAGGTAAAGAAGGCGTTTGTTTTGTACATTATAAATGGTGGTAGTTTTTTTCATTAATGATGAATTCTGAGTGTATCGGTATATTATTGCTATAAATGATATCGAGTGCACAAAGATCATCCTTTTTTTATTGTGATGGTGTTCAGAATTCACACCATCCCTTAAATTATTCCTGATAACCATCGATTATTGCTTGATATATAGAAAGTAGGCTCCAAGCGTCGTCGCCATGTTAGAGAATTCGAAGTCAAACATATTCGAAGGGAAAAATATCAGCCAAATCGGTTGCGGGAGCTTATTCGACCGAGCCATGTGCATAATAGAAAAATACCACTATCCATATCTTGGGAACGCAAATTTTTTTTTCACGCAAAATGCAAATTACAAATCATTACTGGCAATGTATTGAACCATTTTTGGCAAACAGCACCTCCGCTACTGTTAAACACATGGATTTAACTGAATGCTCACCCCTTTTTTACGGTGGTTTTTGTAGAAACGAAAGAGTGGCACCAACTAGAACATCAGGTAATTTTGAAGGAGACGGTAGACAGTGACGCTATCTTGCCGAATATCTTGTAATCACTTGGCCTGCAGTCACATCTTCGATCTTTATTGCCCTGCTGAAACTTTGTTTTTTTTTTGTTGGTTGCTACTATCATTTGGTTGTCTAGGGTATCAAATAAACAACTTAGTTAGTATATTTGCCGATATAAGATCTTTTAAATTCCCTAATGTAGGAAGTTCTATCGTACCCTTCGTGGCAGTACTAAACAAATAATACGATTGGATTTATGGGATTTAGACCGGAGGAACATTCTTCGATGTTTAACGAGAAATCTTTCAACTAATGTTTATATTAATAACTATGAAGTCTTCCTCAGAAACTCATTCTTAACATCAATAACGTTTTTTTGGGCAACTTGTGTTAATGACAAATTTAACAATTGGGAAAGTGTGAAAATACCGAATAATAGGGCGTATCTAAATTACTAACTAACACGGGTGGTGATGAGAAAAATGCAACAAATTAGAATTGGTAAAATATAAAAATTCACCTCACAATATAGAAATGAGCGTAAAATAAAAAAATGTATCACGTACAATAACGCGTTTCTATAGTAAAGGCATATGGGTGGATTTGATTCTACAACCAATTTAACTGCAGCAAAAATTATCAAAACTGGGCCAAATCTAAATTGTTTTGGGAGTCATACGAAATGTATTTAACCAATTACACTTAAAGTCTGGTCAAATAATAAATTTTCACGTGTAATAACCAAATCTAACATACATAAAAATCCCATATTTTCAAGCATTACAACAAAAATAAATAACATGATCGAAAAAATCATTCACTGATTCTTTGATCAAAAATTCATGTGGGAAATGCCACGGTACCCTTTCGAATTTACGATAGTGTATTGCCATATTGGGGGAACACATTAGATTGTGTTTCTTAAATTCCCACTAGATTAACTATTACGTTGCAGTTTTGGAACCGGTTACCGAGTATTTAATGGGAAATCGGGCCGTAAAATTGCTACAAACGAAAATTACTTGGTAGAGTAGGTGTTTTTGATTTGTGAAAATGTTTTTATTTTTCTCCAAAACTATTTATGACGCAAACTTCACATAAAAAGCTTAGACATGAAGAACAAGATGAGATTTACAAAAAATTATCGTTAAACATTGTGAATGTGATCATGTCAATACCAAGGGTTATGTTTAATGAAAGAAATTTGTGTCAGAAAAACCCGACTTTATTTTATCTTTAATTATACGAAGAGACTCATCGCAAATGACGAAAAGTACAACTGTACAAACTATTTAGAAAGGTTTGGGATAACGAATTACACTAATAATTATTAGTGTTTCCTGAAAAATTACGGAATAGAGCTTCTTGCTTAACTGTCTACTATTTATTATTAAATAAAAATTAAGTAATTATACTTTACATAAAATATATTCACCTACACTCAAAAGTTGCAATAAAATGAAACATATTCTCGCCATTCATCGAATACGATAAAATCCACTGTCCAGTCACACTTAGCACAACCTCCGCAGAAAGTCTAACCGATTTGTCTTGTTTATTGATCTGACCACACGGTTCTAACGTTCGTTTTTTCTTAAAGTCGTGACTGTGCACAGAAATGGTGGGTAGATCACGAAGGCGTTCTTGGTTGAATAGAATGACCTCGAATTTCGTGCGTTGATTGTACGCTAGTGTGGGCTGAATGGGGGAGATTAACGAGAATTGGAAAGGTGTCGGGTAAATCTTGACAAATGGTTGGTAATTAGATCCGGAACCGTGGTTAATGATTTTGTAGGAACATGCGAATATGCCACTCTAAAAGAGATAAATATTTATTAATTTATACGATTCAATTACAAACGAATATGGATAAATATAATAAAAAATTACCGTTTTATTAAACGAAAAAATTGTCATTATTCCGTTACCACTACTCGGAATACTACATTGCAACCGATACATCTGTTTACCATCATCAACTCTTCCAAGATAATTTATAAATGCCTCAATCTTTTGTCCCTTCCATTCAAGAGATCCGCCTGGACGTCGTTCATCATCAGCGGGCAACTTCTCGATTTCAAACTCTACCAAATCATTTTCAACCTCAATCACACACTCATGATATTTTGCCATTCTAAACCCACTTGTGAACCATTCTGGCTTGAAAAATGGCAAGCCAACAAACTCATCGAATCGGATTGGCGGCCTTAAATATTGTTCACGACTATTTTCGGGGAAATGTGTGTATATGAGGTGTAATGGGGATGCCATAAAATAAAATGGGTTGAATTTTCGTTCGAATTTTAGATTGGAGACTACACCGGCGCCCCAAGTGCAATCTATTAGAAAATATTCTCCGTCTAGACGGCAGGCATTCCATGCGTGTCCACCTGTGCCTTTTACTTCATCTCCGGGTTGATAGCCAGCACCTTTCACGGTAGAGGATAATGAAAAAATGGCATCAATAAAAAAACCTTAACTTTAGAATTATACATAATAATTATATTTTATTGAGACCTTTTGCTTCTCCGCTTACTTTCCAAGTATCCAAATTAGCAGCAGAAGCCAATTCATCAAACAATTCACTGTATCCTGCACAAACGGCTCGCCGATGTTTCAATACATCCTTTGCTGAATTATAGCGAACACCCCCTTTGAAAAATTTAAAGCGAAAAGTCAAGTAATATTTCTATTTGCCAGAATAAATTTCACTAATAAAAACAATCCTATTACCTCCATAAAACGCATCACAATCATATGCAATGTTATGAGCAACCCATGCAAAAACACATCGCAATTTGTAAATGGGATGTGTCCATTCGGACGTGAGATAATTAGATAATCGATCTATTGATTTTTCGACATCTTTTGGTGCACTGCGTGCATGATCATCAACAATTTCAAAGTCAACTTCTATTTGGCCAAATTGATAAATGCAAAAAAAAAATGAGCTCAAGTCTCAATTAAAATCTTTAGATAAAAAAAAGACTTTACCTGATAAATCTAAAGGTGCCTCAAAGTTCTTATCATAAACGACTGTACATCGACTGCCTTAGACATTCGTCAAAATTATCTTTTAGTAATTAAATACACAGATATTCACAAGTTATATCATCATCATACACACCTAACTGGATCAAATTTCTCCATTATTTTCTTTTCATTTACGCTGTTGTTTTTACCATTTTTTCTAGTTGGATGATTTGCTGCCTCTTCTACGTCATTATTATATTCCTTTTTATCAATTACTTTTACTTTTCGAAAACCAACATTATCTTCGTCGGAATAATCCTGATGAACAGCGGAATTGGCAGACTTTGTCGAAAATTTTCGTTGATTAAGTTTTATGCGTGGTGGTAATTTTGGGACCATTTCTATCTCTTCTTGTTCTTCATAGTCAGCATAATCATTATTACCATCGACTATTATTTCTACAAAACTACATGGGAATGATCCAAATGTATCAGTATCTGTGATAGTACCATTCCACCAGTCATCATTTTCTAAAATATTTGAAAAAAATAGCAATTACTTTCAACATCGACTTTTCTCCCTATCGCACAACAGATAATAATACGTACACGCCATAAACTTACCAATACCCAACACTTCAATGATATCGCCTACTTCAAAACTCAAGTCCAGAGGGTGGTTACTCTTATAATCCTTTTTCGCTTTGACCACATGTTTTGGCTGCCAGAGAAGCAGATTTTCCCAGTCGGCTGTCGCCATTTTTACAGGTGAGAGGTTATATGCAGTAAAAAAGTATTTCGGAGTCTACTTTATTAGCGTTAATTCTTGGACGTATACCGGTATGAAAATGACATTTTGACCGGCACCACATTATAGATTAGGTGATGTTTCAGGTGATCTCACGTGGAAAAGATGAGTCATTAAATTATCCTAATTGTAACAAGACTTTTGTTCAAAGAATAAGTTATCATTTTTTGTTACAGCGCTCTCCATTACTTTTGTATAAACAACTGTGTTAAGCTTAAAAATCAATTATAAACGCGTGTAACTATTTAATAAAAAAGATGCATAAGAAATATATCTAATTCCAATACAAAAACATGACAAATATCGATTAGTATGTAATATTACTACTTGGAAGTATATCTATATTTAAAAGAAGACCAAAGAAGAATGATTTACACCACTCTTTTCATCTTCAATTGAAATGAAATATATATGTGGGTTTCTGGTATAATAATTCTTTGAATTAAGCACTCTCTCTTATAGTATCTCTGTATTATTCTTTTTTTCTCTCTTTTTTTTCGTAGCGGGGGTGAGTGAGGAGAATGAAATTGATTCCTTTTTTTATTCGTCATATCAAAAAGAATCATTATTTCTAGTCATTGATTGCATATTGATGTTAACATATAGAGAGGGTATAATAAAATAAAAAACAGTAAAGTTCATATCTCTTCTTTTATTACATATCCATATTGACACAACACAAAAAATTTATTTTATTTGCTGATCTACATAATAGATAACAATAACCACGAAGTAGTAATTGAAATCTCTTAGCCAACCTTGTGAGCGAATGTTCTTTATTTTGAAAATTGCTTTTATCGTTATATAAAATGAAACTTAAAAGATAAACGACCATATATAAAGTTAATTGGCAAGTTTTCACTCACTGCAAACCTTCGATCTCCACCAATTTTATTTTCTAATTCATGTTCGAAATTTTTCAGCTTTCAGGTATTTGGTTTTTCATTTATTCTTTTGTTATGTCTTTTTCTTCTATTAATGAATACTATTAACTTTCTCATTTACTAATTACTAGTCGAACAACAAAAACACCTTGACATTACATGCCCTTCTCCCTCAATGCCATTTCGCCTCATCATTGAAATCTTTGAACCACAATTACCACAAACGCCATGAGATTCACTTCCTTCTGTCGGTGTTTTATCTTCTTTTTCGCCCACAACTCCACCGTTTGATGACCAATCAACAGCAAATATTCCGCAACTCGGAATGATATTCCAATAAAAACATGATGCTGATAACAATAAATATAGCCATCTATTTCGAATCCTTACAGAAGGAAACTGACGATGATTCACGTTGGAAAATCTATTGCAATCACATATTGTAGAAACGCTAATAATATTGACGATGATGTCAACATTCAACACCAAGTTAATTCAACAAACTCGTTTGAAGAAACCAATCAACGAGATTATAGCCAGACGACAAGAGTATTCAAACAAAAGAAACAATTAGTTTCATGAAGGTACGTAATTAATTTATTATTTACATATTTTTATTCATTAAATTTTTAATAATAAAAACTTTTTTCCTAGGAATCGTCATCAGTTTGAGAATGTTATAACAGAACAATTCAATCCTGAAGCATTGGAGATATTCTCAAATTGATCCACCACTGACTATTGGTTCAAATTCTCTACTTGCACCACAACCCAACGGGTATGGATCATTGTTCGTCGAAAATAATAATCATTTTCTTATTGATTATTTCCTGATTTGATGTAAGATACACTACAAAGGGAAACTTAAGGAATTATCCCTTTGTAGATCAAATCAGAAATACTGTAATTGTGCAAATTTTCAGTATAGCGATAGAGAACAAACACTGCCCGCAAAAAAAAATAGCTATAAAGGAGACCATTGTGACTTCTACCTTAAATGGATCACGAAAGAAAATCACCTTCCGATGTTTTTACTGCCACGTCACCTCCATCACGTCCACCTTTTACAAAGATTACCTTTACACTCGGATCTTCAGTGCCAAGCAAAAACAAACACCTCGTCTAATTCCCAACCTAAAATTCCCCAAGAATATCATCAGCTCAGGCACAAACTTCAAGTACAAAGAAGTTAAGACCCTATTAGAACAAGCAAGCTGCAGCATTATCTCAGCAATTATGGTTACCCACCATGACTGACCTGCAGCTGTTTCTTTGACCTCCAACATACCTTCTTCCTCCATGTTACAAAACTAGTAGTTCTCTTCGATAATGCGATCTCCAACAAGCATGAACGTACCTAGGTTATTTTTGCCATCAACACCATCTACAGAACGTCAATCAGTTAGATACAGAAGAGGGCACGGGAATCAAAAAGCGCAAATTTAAGGGAAAGACAATGGTATCCCGCGGCAAACACCAAAAGATGAAGGATACAATCAATCGCACATTACTCATCAAAGTATCCGAATCATCACCAGAAGCAGCTTTTAAAGCGCTGGATGGCGAGGTCATTCCAATCAAAAAAGATGCTTCGACATACACTCACTATTTGCGCGCAGAGTTTTTCTAACTCTATTTGGAGTCGTTTCTACGTTTCACTACTTCACACCGCTTCGGCATACGTCTTACACCGTCAAAAGCCCTGCGAGTCGAACGAAAACGAACGCGCCTTGTAGCCTTTCCATTTCGAAAAAAAAGGCACAACAACAAATGTCCATTTCCACACAAGATCACATCCGACAGTACTCTCGCCAAACTAATGAGTGGACGTTTGCCTGGATCGACGAGACGCAAAGACAAGTCCGCGAAATGAATCCACCAGGGCGACCACCGAAAGTTCAGCCACGTGACAATTTTTTGATGATGTCAACGATGATGACCAATTAAATTGCAAGATCAACGTGTAACGCAAAAATTCAAAAAAGCTTTCATCTCAAAATCTAGTCTATGAAACTATCTTTTGTGTTCTAATAAAAAATGTTCACTGCGAGATTTTAATATAATACATTTTTTGTTTGCTTATTCAAAATCTTAAGAGTGAGGATCCTGTTGTATAATGACCTTTTGTCATAATATTTCATATTATTGAATTATATATATTTCATATTATCGTTATTGAATTATATATATTTCATATCTTATTGGATAAAGATCAAATCACGTGAAGTGAGCGAACGAGCAATGAACTTTCAACTGAAGTTCTCAATATAAGTTTTTTGTTCATGATCGAACCAAATCGATATTTTAATTTATAGGTAATTTTTACTGGGGTTGTAAAGACGTTGTTTCCGCAGCAGATGTATCCTTCACTAGAAATTTTAAGAAACACGCTAAAAGATTGCTCCTTTTTAAATTTTAAATTTTAATTTAGTATTTAATTTTAACTTTATATCCCTGAAATATATAAAATTATTGAAACTTTTATAAAAATTTAAATTTTCTTTATTATTTTCTTATTTGTATATTTTTATTTATTTTGCCAAATAACCTTGACCCCTAACCCTATTCGCATCGTTGACGTCATCAAAAAATTCACACGTGACCCGAACTTTCGGTGGTCGCCCTGGCGGATCCCCTGGCTCTATTCATGCAGTCTCGATTGATCCTGGCGTTCGGACACCCTTAACATAGTTTTTCCCGCAAAAGAAGCAGGCAAGATTGGTGGATATGATATTGGACGATCTCCAAGCACAAGCAAAGAAAAGCTAAGACAATCTTGGATATGATGAAATATTGTGCGACTGCGGAATGAAGTTCATAGAAGGCGATTGGATTCTTCACTCGTGAATGCAATGCTATTGTCATTAGGTATCTGACATGGTGAATCGTAATGAGAAAGATCACACGAAAAACGGTCCGAAAGATGCTGTGCTGGACAATTGCCAAGGCTAAGGAATTACGAGTCCGAGTTATGAGGCATATATGCCAAAAATTTGCAGTTGGTGTGGGAATATCCAGAAAATCAGAGGTTCTGAAGTATATAGCTGTCGGGATTGATGGATAGAGATGAAAATGGCTCTCGGGGAATATTTCTCCGGGCATTGCTTGAGAATCATGCAGGAAATAATAGCTTTATTTAGTACAGCCTATTCTTGATGCATCTGCAAACTTTAAATTTAATGTACGAATTTGGAAGTTTTAATTATCATCAATATTAACAATTTAGTACGTAATAATTAAACCATAATAAAATATGTTCAAAACAGCTGATATATTTTTTGATTCAAATTTATCAATGCACGAACATTTGGTATTCGAAGGAGTAAATATTAGTCAAATTGTTAGAATATTTACAAAAACGGAGGAGAATTATTACTATTAAATTTTGATTAGAGAAATGCTTTCATTTCTTGATCTTTTTAATCATTATCAAGGTCCATACTAACTACCTCGTCATCCGTTGACGCGATTTCAGGATGTAACGCGGTTGTTGCAGATGAAGGTTGTTTCGAATTTGTTGATTCTGATAGATTAGCTCCAGTAGCTCTGATGGAAGATGATATATTGTTGTTGCCGCCTTTATCATTACCAACAATATTGCTGCTAATTGTTCTATTCTTACTACTACTATTATTATTATGATTATTATTATTATAATTAATTTCAAAATCTCTCCTTTGTCGCTCTTCAGTATTATTAGTAGTAGCAGCAGTTTTATTATTATGTATACCATTTGACGATACTTTATCACGATCGGTTATATCTCGCTCATCTTCAAATCGTACTTTTTTATATGATTTTCTCATCATCATATTTTCATAATCCTCATCAAAGCTAAGTTGACTAAAATCACGAACAAGTTGATTTTGAATTCGATTGGTGGCTGGTGTGCTTTGATGACGATTGTTTTTGCTGTTGCTATTATTGCTAATATTAGAAGAACTAGTTACTCCTGTTTGAGAAGGCTTCCTATAACCCGGATGATGATCATCATTTCCATAGTCAATCATATACAGCGGTCTTTTACCTTTCTTCTTTTCGCTCTCAATGACTACTGGAATGTCATTAATATTATTATTGCTGTTGACATTCTTATCATTTATATCATCATCAGAAGATATTTCAATTAATTCTCCATCTTCGAATCCTGATGAACTATCAACAACAAATTTTTTATCTTCTACTAAATCTAAACCAGGAATTTTTTCTTCGTCATTTGAATCTAAACCAGGAATTTGATTCAATCCTTTATCGTTTAGTCCTAACCCTGGGATATCGTCATTATCCGAATTCTGTTCATACATAGAAAGACATCTACCGAACATTGGTGAGATTGATGACAAAGACGATTGTCGATCACTAGTAATAAATCTTCCAGGCTCAACATTCTTGTTCGCCTCCTTGTCTCTCGATGTAACGGAATCGCCTTTTTGCTGAGGCAGAGATTCATTATTACTCGTAGTAGATGTGTGCAGAGTTCGAGACGGCCCAGCGTGTACTGTTGAAGATGGAGGGTTTATAAGCAACTCAAGATCATCTGCTGCCTCTTGATCCTCATAATAACACTCACTATTTGATTTTTTTAATTCTGCTATAATTTGAATTATTTTATCAGAAAGTTCTCGAGGCATTCCTTCGTAAACTAAAGTACCGTCGGATAAGGCTAGTTCAAGCTTGTTTAGCATGTCTTTCATGACTTCATGGGCGCCTTTATGGGTTCTCCCGCCTTTACGCGGTAATGGAAAATGTAAAGCGGGGTATAAAGATGCAGTAGTAGACCCTGTCCCTTGCAATTGCCCAAAATTCATATTATCATTATTATCATTATTATCATTGAAAAGTTCATCCTCAATTGAAGGAGGTGGTTTATTCTCAACTGGAGTTGGAGCCCCAACACATGGGCAAAATGTCACTCCTTCGAAACTAAAATGGACTGATTTAAGAGTATTAGCAACAGCAACAAAGTGTTCTGTAGCAACGTTGATGCTTGTTGGTGTGTTGTTCATTTTCAAAAACCTCTAGTTGGCAATCGTGTTTTAAATTTTATGATATCACTTGATTTTTATTAAAAATTAATTTAGCCATATCGATATCGATCTTATTCAATTCCTTATCTTGATTAGTTATTCCTCCATTAATAAATAACACTCCTAATTAGATATTTTTTTTACTCGGGACAAATAAGATTAAGTGCATAATACACAGTCATGGAAGTGAGGTGTTTAACTTTAACGATAATTGCCATTATGTAAAATTTTTCAACAGTCATCTTTTTACACTAGTAATACAGCATTAATGCACCCGTCGTTTTCTGGATTATTGGTGACTATATATATATATATATTAACAAAAAATTAGGTAATTAATATTATCCAGCAAAATTTAATAATTAATTGAAAATCATACCTTGGGCATATTTACCCCACACAACTTTGCCCGATGTAGTAACCAATCCAAGTTCTGATACATTAACCTATTAAATAAAAAGTTGATAGAAAATTAAAATTTCCATAACAAGAAAACTTCGCCTTTTTGTTCTTACCTCTATTACAGTTCCCTTAGTAAGCACGCCCAAGGAAGTATATAGCGGACTTTGTGGATTCTTTTTAACGCTAATAATAGGCAAACAAAACGTAGCAGCCAATTCTGGATGAGTCACGTGCGCTTTTTTGTATCGTAGTGCCATAGGTCGAATGAACCTTTCGTATTTGGGGGGTTTTCGGGTGAAGCCATCACCAACAAACGTTGCTTTTGTGATCATGCGTTTCCATTGTTTGGCTAAATTTAGGAAAAAAAGTTAATAAGTCACAAAGCCAATTATTTTTTGCGACAATTTTACTTGCTTCGATTTTTTCCGGTTTTTACAACTTTGAACATTTCATCTTCTGCAATACCACGAACTTTAGGGAGTGGCACTGCCCATTTGCCCGCTTTTTCTTTGCGCTTTTGTTTCACCATATTAGACAGTATTTTTGCTCGTTTTTCCCCTTCACGATCCAATAAATATGCTGGCACAGCTCCATCGGGAATTGCTTGTGTGTCTTTTTGTTTCGCTGATTTCTCTTGTTTCTGTTTAATACTGATTAAAATCATATCGATTCGAGAGGGAAAAAGAGCCTTTTTAAGTTTGCATTATAACATGAAATCATGACCCAGAAACGATACACACGTTTTCTTCATTTGAATCTTTTGCGCGTAACGTTTCTTGTTGTATAGTTTTGCGCGCAAGCCGTGGACTTTCTGCGCAAATGCAGAGGTAGTGTGTGGTTCACGCGCAATCCGTTTTCGTCTTTATTGAAGAATATGAGATTAGCCTTAGCAAAATCTGACAACAAAGCATCTAACTATCGACCATAAAAATGAGATAATAATATTACTTGCGTTCTTCATAATCGAACCGCCGCCCATGTTTTTTAATTGCCTCTTCAATATATTCGTTTTGAGGCTGTAAAAAAAAACGTTTTAATTCCACTTTACATGAATGTCAATTTTTATTTCAAATTTTTACCATTTCGGTTTCGAGACAAAAGTTGAAAAATTAATTCACGTGATGGTAGTAGATAAACAGCTATTTAGCAAAAGTTACGTTTTTGATGGATCTGCAAGTACCCTTAATTTATGTTATGTTTTTTTATGTTTTTGATAGATAAAAATTCTCGAATATGTGATTCCGATCCATCCTTAAAATTGATTGACCAATCAAATCGCAATATCAACGTGTAACCCAAAAATTTCAAAACAAATGCTAATTTTTGAAAAATAGCTTGTATCTCAAAATCTTACCTATGAAACTGCCTTTTGTGTTATAACAAAAAAATGTTTCTTGTAAATTTCACTATTCCATCTTGATCCACATAACTCTAACTCTGACTTTAACTCTGACCCTTAAAAACTCTAATTAGAAGATCGGATGGATCGGAATCACGTGTTTCGAGAATTTTTTCGCCATGATTAGGATTTTAATTTTTGATGCTTTGCGTAGTAAAGCAATAGAGTCACGTTTTTTATAATACCCAATTTTTTTGTCCAGTCAACATAATTTTTAAGAGGTAAACCAATCAAATCGCAAGTTTAATGTGTAATGAAAAATTTAAAACATTTATTTTTGAAAAATAGCTTGTAATTCAATCTCTTCAGATTCAATTACTTCAGAATTGCTGTACAGTATGTCTTTTTCTATCTATCATATAGATTTTTATTATTATTAATAGATCAATATATGTATTTATATAGCCTAGTACTAATATTCTTTAACAACTTTGGTTAATATTTAATAATGCAAAATTAATCTAAGTAGAATAATTATTAATTAATTAATTAATATATAAATTTCATTAACAATAAATAAGAAACAATTTATTAACTAGCTAAATTTTGTATTGATTAATTTATAATGCTCAAGACTTTATTTCATATTGTATTTATATATTTTAAAATTATATTAATATAATAGATATATTTAATATAAAATTAATATAATAAATATTTTTGATATAGTCAACATGAAAAATAATAGTAAACATGTTTTTTGCCTATAATTTAATAAGAAATTGCTAAAAATTCATGAAAATTTGTTATTATATTCTTTAGAATAATGAAAACAAAAATTTTCTAAGATTATAAAACATGTTAATATTTTGTGAAATTATATGCTAAAGGTAATAAGTTGAGAACTATCCTGATTAAAGAGCTATAAAAAATTATTTAAAAATATTTTTTATAAACAAATATGAAAAAAATTTTATAAAAATATATTTAAAAATATAGAAAATACATCTGCAATTTCAAAAAAATTTTAGTTAATATTTATTGATAAATTTTATTATGAAATTTATCAAAATTAAGTCTTTTTTTGACTGATATTTATTCAATAAATATTAACTAAAATTTTTTTAAATTACAAATATATTTTTTATACCTTTAAATATATTTTTATAAAATTATTTTTATACTTGCTTATAAAAAATATTTATAAATAACTTTTTATAGTTTTTTAACTAGGATAGCTCCTCAGCTTACTATTATTATTTTATATAATTTTATATTTTGTTATGGAAATACACAAAAAAACATGTAAGATTATGTGAAATTAAATTAGTTGGAAGAATTTATGTAAATAACTTTTAAAATGAGAGAAATATTAAGTTATCTAAAGATAAATAATATATATTCATTTTGTTAATTAGCTAGAATGAAACCAGAGATAATTATATATTTCTTTAATTCAATTTATAAATAAATTAAGCTTTCTTTTAAAGTTAATTTATAAATAAGTAAGATATAATTTCTTTTATTAATTTAAATATATATTATTGCCTTCATAATATAGATAAGAGATTAAATATAAGTATTATAAAAAGAATAACTTTACAATATAGATGAGAAATTATAAATCAAATAACAAGAATAACTTTATAATTAACATGAAAAATTATGAAAATATTATCTAAAGAATTATTAAAAAAATATAAAACTAAAATTACTTTAAACTTTGTTATTTTCTAAGATTAAGATACATATTTTATTTATAAGTATTTGATAATTATTTTAAAAGATCATTCAGAGTGTTTAAAATAATTATTTGGAATGATTATTTGAAATAATCATTTGGAGCATTTTAGATAATCACTTATAATAATTTCTTAAAGTGATTATTTGAAATGATTATTTGAAATAATCATTTGAATTGATTATAGTAATCATATATAATAATTATTTGTTAATCATAAAAATATTTAATCACAATACTACTATCTTTAATATTGTTACCGTTTTGATAGAGCTTTCGAAATACTCAAAGATATTTATAAAATTTAAGGAATATTCAAAGAGAAACTTCCAATATCTTAATGACAATTCAAAGTCTAATAATACTTTATGGCTTTAGACTGAATATGAATTAAAGTACGACAAGTACTTAT